GTTACTTCTTTTACACGTTAACACTACATAAACCCGGTGTTTGGCCTTTCCTTATATAGGAACTAGAACAAAAGCTGGAGAAGATGATGAGCCAAGACCAACCTCACAGTCACGACGAACTCTGATCATGTCCACCTGAAATAAATACTTACTGGATGCGCACCGCTTAGAATTGTGTCACTATTAGTGTTGCTCAGTCTCAAACGTGAAGAGGACTAAAAGAAAACAATGAACAGAGATGTTGTTGGTCGGAAGAGAATGAACGATAGGTTTAAATTTGCGTCATTTGAACAGTGGAGGTTCTATTTATTAAAAGAGTATCTTACACAATTTTCAACATTTTGATTAAGCACAAAGAACAGTTCTTTTATATAAAAACAATTTGAATTTAGAACTCGTTTATGTATCGTACCTAAAAGTTAAAATTCCGCTTCAAAGGTCATATTCCAGTGGTAGGTTTGGTTTGGTTTTGTCTTTTCTGTCATAATATTTAAATTAACCGAACCGAATGATTGCATTTAACATTATTCAAAACCCGTATCAAATTTATATTGTAAACAATTTTGTTTTACTTATAGAAATCAAAGTTTTTTTTTTTTATAAAAACAGATTACATACCTTAAACTCTTACTTAAACTGTTGAGATAAAACCGTGTAATGTAGTTTTAGTTCAATTAACGTTGACTAGAAAAATCAATGTAAGATATTTTACTTGAAAACCGTGGCCCAACAATGGTTCGAGAAGGTAGAAAAAAAGGTAAACGAGATATTTATTTGACTGAGATATTTATTTGGGTTGAAAACTTTGGCCCGAAATGGTTCGAGAAGGCAAAAAAAAAAGGGTAAAGGAGACAAATAATAATAAATCAACGTGCGTGACTCCTTTAAACCGGTGGTAATCAACACATGTCTCGGGTCAAATTGTTTGACCCAATCTAAACCAGCGACCTTTCAATTCCCATTTTCTCCAAGTCAAAAAGAAGAAGAGACTCAACAACACTTCGCTCACAATCCCCCGAATCTCTCTCTATTCCTCCTCTACTCCCCAAAGCCCAGATCTCTCTCTCTGATCTTTACTTCTTTCACAGTCTGAAATCACTGTTTTACTACTCTTTACGATATGGCGGCGATGATAGAGCAAAGGCCGAAGACGAAGATCGTGTGTACCCTCGGTCCCGCTTCCAGATCCGTGGAGATGGTTGAGAAGCTTCTCAAGGCGGGTATGAACGTGGCTAGGTTTAACTTCTCTCACGGATCTCATGAGTACCATCAAGAGACTCTCGATAATCTCCGTCAAGCTATGCTCAACACTGGTATCCTTTGCGCCGTCATGCTCGATACCAAGGTTAGTTAGTAACGATCTTTTAGCGTACGTATCTGATTCAGTTTTATTTTATTTGATATGGATTCGACTGTGATCTGACTTTTTTTTAGGGTTTGTTAGATTTTTTCTGCAGTTTTACCTTTGGTTTCTGATTGGTTTATTACATTTTTCGATCTGGAACACTGACGCGTGTATGTTTATTGCTAATTGTTGAATGTTTTGTACGCATCTGTGTTTGGTTTTATGTTTACTGTTTTGTCTTTATGCTATTACTTTTGGTAGTTTTTAAAAAAAAAAAAATTTCAACTCTGCTGATTAAGAACTCTTACAAAACACTGTTCATATGGGTTTATATTTTCTGGGAATTACTAACATTTATTTTGACTTGGAGAACTCTTACAAAACACTGTCTTGTCTTTATGCTATTACTTTTGGTAGTTTTTTTTTTTGTAGTAGCGAAATTACAACTTAAATAACCAAATCAGTTGAGATTTGAGAAGAGTTGAAGCTTGTTGTAAAAGACCAAATGTCGATTATGATGTTCGTACTTAGATCTCTTAAATTAGTGACGTATATGTTAATACAAATTTGATACATGATGTTCTTGAATTGCTCTCTCTCTCTCTCTGGTCTGTTATTATGGTTTATGTGGCTAGATATGTTAATTAGTGTGTGGTGTCTAGAACTTTATAACCAAATTCAACTCACGTTGATGTTTCATATTTTTTTTCGCTTGATTTGTTTATTGTCTATGTTAATCTCACACCTATGTATGTTTTGATTGAGGTAGATATGTCTAGATTTGTGACTAAACTTATTTAATTTGTAAATTCTAGATTTGTGAGAATCTGGTTACAATTTGAATTTGACCAAATCTGTTGAGAACAGTTAAAAGTCTGTTGTATACACTAATTGTAGAAGATGATGTTCACACTTAGATCTCTAAAGAAGTTTATTGTTTCTGTGGCTAAATAATTTATTTAGTTTGCGGTGTTTACAGTTTTATAATCAACGTTTCTTGTTTACATAAATGTTCTGCTTGCTATATGTATATTTTCTTTGTGGTGTTTACAACTTTATAATCAACGTTTCTTGTTTACATAAATGTCACACTTGCTATATGTATGTTTAGACTTAGGCAGACATATTCACAATAACAGAAACATGAGACTTGTGATTGTTGAGTCAGAAGAAGATAGTGTTGACATACTATGTTCTTTATTGATGTCCCCTTGTCTGTGATTATGGATTGTTGGCCAGATAATGTAGTTACTGTGTGAAGTAGAACTATAGTCAAATTTCAGTTGATTCTTTTTAATTTGTTTGTTTTTCATTTGAAAGTTTCTCCTAATAACTTCTTTCTTGTGTATATCTAAATGTCTTAAACTAAAGGCAAATCTTATCTGATTATTACTAACGGAACCGTTTTGTATTTTTTTCTCTTAAAGGGTCCAGAAATCCGAACCGGGTTCTTGAAAGATGGGAAACCAATCCAGTTGAAACAAGGCCAAGAGATCACCATTTCCACTGACTACGAGTTGCAGGGAGACGAGAACACAATCTGCATGAGTTACAAGAAGTTGGCTGAAGATGTGAACCCAGGGATGGTTATCCTCTGTGCCGACGGTACCATTTCGTTACTGGTCCTCTCTTGTGACACAGAGAATGGCACAGTCCGTTGCCGCTGCGAGAACTCTGCCATGCTCGGTGAGAGGAAGAATGTTAATCTCCCTGGTGTTGTTGTGGATCTCCCAACTCTAACTGAGAAAGACAAAGAAGACATCATGAAGTGGGGGGTTCCCAATCAAATCGACATGATTGCTTTGTCTTTTGTCAGAAAAGGTTCAGACTTGGTTCAGGTCAGGAAACTACTCGGAGATCATGCCAAGAACATTCTTCTCATGTCAAAGGTATGTTGGAATTTAAAACCAAAGCTCTCTTAACTGTTTCAGAAACTATAAGTACACATTTTTTAATACTTTTGTGTGGATTAGGTTGAGAACCAAGAAGGTGTGGCCAACTTTGATGACATTCTCGTCAACTCTGACGCGTTTATGATTGCAAGAGGAGATCTCGGCATGGAGATCCCTATTGAGAAGATCTTCTTAGCTCAGAAAGTGATGATCTACAAATGCAACATCCAGGGAAAGCCTGTGGTGACAGCGACTCAGATGCTTGAGTCCATGATCAAATCCCCTCGACCCACAAGAGCTGAAGCCACTGACGTAGCAAACGCAGTCCTTGACGGTACAGACTGCGTCATGCTCAGTGGTGAAACCGCAGCTGGAGCGTACCCTGAGCTAGCTGTACGTACAATGGCCAAGATATGCGTTGAAGCAGAGAGCACACTTGACTACGGAGATGTCTTCAAGAGAATCATGCAATACTCTCCAGTTCCGATGTCCCCGCTGGAGTCACTCGCCTCCTCTGCAGTGAGAACAGCTAACTCGGCTAGAGCCACTCTCATCATGGTCCTAACCAGGGGAGGAAGCACGGCGAGGCTTGTAGCTAAGTACAGACCAGGGATGCCTATCTTGTCAGTCGTTGTTCCTGAGATGAAAACCGACTTCTTTGATTGGTCTTGCAGCGATGAATCACCGGCGAGGCACAGTCTCATCTTCCGTGGTCTGATCCCAGTGCTGTACGCAGGCTCTGCAAGAGCCTCGCATGATGAGTCAACTGAAGAAGCTATTGAGTTTGCGACTCAGCATGGGAAAGAAAAGCAGCTGTGTAAGACTGGAGACTCTGTTGTTGCTCTGCTCCGAGTTGGTAATGCTTCTCTTATCAAGATCTTGACCGTCAAGTGATGATGATGACTCACGATCTTTACAAAATCACGTTTTTGGCGTTTGGCGTTTGGGGGAAACGCGACTATAAGCGGTTTTTATTATGATTTTTTTTAAAATCAAGATTGTGATTACAGTGTCTTGAGATAGGAAACTCAAGTTCTCTTTTCTTGCTAATTACTACTGTGGTGACTAGTGAATCCACTTACGGTTCTTTTTTATTTTGGATTATTGGTTGTATGGAAACTAATCAATCATACACGTATCTATTATCATGATTCTTGTTCTTTTGTTATTATTTATACGTCGAGATGATGGTCATTTATGTATTTTCGTGATTTTGTTTTTGGGAAAGGCAGAGCATGAAGACAAAAAGAAAGAGACAGCGCATGAAGCATTCGGCCATACACAAATTATGCCGACAAACAAAAATTAATCATCATTATGTGGGCTTCAATAAAATTTTCATATTTACAAAGTCTCAAACAAAATAATAGAAACGAACTGTCATGATTTGATCATCTTTGTATATGAATGAAAGATTGAATCATTATCGCCCCCATACAAAACCCATTCCGCCAAATATTTAATCATTCTGCTTTTTCTTTTAAACTTTTTACTAAAGTAACTTAAGTTACACCTAATAAAGACATACATAAATATGTGACAATTTATGTATGAGTTAGGCTTATTATTAATCTAGTATCAATATATAATAATCAAATGTTCACTATTGTGGTCTACCTTTAAATGTTCAGTTCCGAAAATTTGACATTCAAATGTACAGTATTGATATATGCAATGTGTATATTAAAGTCTTGCATCAAAACTTTGAAAATTGATGGACAATATATAGATGTGGTAATCGTCTGTTTTTGAACTAACTTTTTGGATGTGAGTTGAACTGATTCTTTATACTTTTTCCTTCATGATTTGGAAAATCAATTGACATAAATCTGATATAGAAGACCACAACAACAAAAACAGTGGAAACTAAGAACACACAAACCGAATGTGATCATCTCTGTACAGCAACAATGAAAGAAGATTGAAACGAAAGAAGAACATATAATACATGCATGGAATTTTTTCAACAGTCTTGAGTAAAAGAAAATCATTGTTATGTACATAAAAGCAGCGAGTGAAATGCAGAGAATAAAACAAGATGAAGAGCTAGAACATGAGACAATGAAAAGACAACAAGAACATAACCAAGATTCTTAGTTCTTTTATCAGCGAGAAGAACCATAAGATCTTGAGTAAACATTGTTCTCACCAGACTGAGATGTTCCAGATGAAGAAGGCGACGAAGAAGAAGAAGAAGAGAAGAAACCACTGAATGGCCATGGAATCGAAAACCTTCTCCCATTCCCACTCCTCCCCTCATCCTCTCTTCCTCTCTCCACACTCCCCACATTCTCAACAACCACCTCTCTGTTACTACTCTCAGGAACACTTCTTGTCCCCGTCCCTCTCTCTGTCTCAACCTTACTCTCATCATCACCATCACCATTACCAGAAGGAAGCTCAAACCGACAAACAGGACACGAGCTATGCAACTCAAGCCACGGAACAATACACTTAACATGAAACTTATGCTTACAAGGCATCTCTTTAGCCTCCACACCTCTCTCAAACTCATCCAAACAAACCGAACACTGCAACAACGCTTCCGTTATCTTAACCGTTGGCAAAGCCTCAACCACTTCTTTACGAGCAGGTGGGGTCCCTTGCCTGTTAGGATCATTCTCAGCTAAATGCTGAAGCAAAAGATCCAAACCAGGTCCAATAAAGTAATCTCCAAGTGAAGTCAATGCAGGATGTGTCTGAGTTTGGTCAGAAGATCCTCTAACAACGAGAGACTGATTATAAGGATTGATCATGATAACTCTATCGTTATTATTATCAGAGCTTTCATACTCTGAAGCAATCCCTGCACGTATCCCTTGAAGCAGCTGCAATATATTCCCTGAGCTTCTTCTTCTTCTCCTCAAGAGTGATTCAAACTCTCTATCCAAATCAATCTCTCCACCGTGTCTTCTAGCTCTATGATGATGATGATGATGACGACGGTCAACATTGTTGGATACATCTTCATCGTTTTCTTCATTGTCTTCTTCTTCACCAAACTCTGCTCTTCTGAACCTTCTTCGTCTCCTAGGACTACTCATCATTCCGAGTAAGATTGGTGCCCATAGAGACATAGCACGGTCTGTTCCAAACTCGGTTTCAGGGTCTTGAACGTCTCTTAAGCCTCCTCCTCCAGTGCCATTACCGCTCATTTCTTCCACGAATCCGCTTTGGCAAAAGGGACATTTGATCTCAGATTCTGTTATTGGATTCACCATTTGTGAACACATGTGACACCAATACCTAGCCGCCATTGTTTCCTCCATTGTCTCCCTCCCTGCAATAACAAAATGAAAAAAATCATGTCTTTCAATACAGATCTAAGATAAAGTTTCGAACTTTACAATAGTATCCATCTTAAAGTAGTAAACTTTGTCATCAATGTCCCAAAATTTAATGAATTTAGACCAATCAATTACGAGATTCAGACAAGAACATCAGAGGGAAAAGTCAAGCTTATTACACAAAGTTCTTGTCTTTTTTTTACATGAAAACAAAACCCAGAACCTAGAAAAGATCATACCTTTTAAAATGTAACTGCTTCTTCTCTAAAAACCCAAGAAAATTCAAATCTGTTTTTCTTTTGATTTGACTCTTCTGGAGAAATTAAACCCCCAAAAAAAGCTGAAGCTTTTGTTTTGTCGTCGTGTAGCTCTGGCGAAGGGCTGGAGAAGAGAGAAACAAACAAGAAAGAAAGAGTGGATGGAAACGAAACAACCCAACCACGTCCTCTTTCTAAACCCCCCAACTCCTTTCCTTTGTCTCCCCCTCTTACTTTTTTCTTAATTAGCATTTAATCTGTTGTTAAATTAATAAAATCTTGATTAAGACTTTTTGTTAATTATAGTCTTTTTCCATCACTAATTTTGAGATGTATTACTAATTTATCACAAGCTGTTTCAACGCCTGTGGGCTCTGGTTTGATTACGTTTTCCATGCAATTGTGTTGTCATGTTTTGTCATATTATGGTGACAAATATATATGCTACTTGCAAGGGAATATAAAATATCTATCTACAAATGTATGTAAATATTCGTTTGATGTAGACCTTTCAGGTTATTAAATTTTATAATAAAATAAATTTCAAACTTTATTAACGCGTGAATTGTAGATAACTTCTTTTTGACGGAATTGGACCGAGTATATCCATTACTTTCTTCAATAATGTGCTTACAAACTAAACAAAAAATATTCAAGAAACACAAGAGTTTAACTCGGTCTATGCATTAATCTAGAATCAATCACTGTATATGTGAGTTTTAAACCATGATATATCACTTAATCCTGATGCTAAACTTGATGAGTGAATATATCACCTTTAATGCGTTGAACTAATTGTACAATAGTGATAAATTGTTCAGGCCAAACAATTTAGAAGCAATGATGAAATTACAAAAGGTTAAAGAAAAAATGTTTAATAGAGCTAGACTGGAATAAATAGGATTGTAGCTAATATATTTCTTTGAAACCAATTGAATTTTTTCAATTAAGCTATTAAAAACTGGTATTTATAATTCATAATGCAATGATATCTTATACTATTCAAAACTGAAATTTATGGGGAAGTGATTTAACACATGTACGACATTCTATATGTATAATATAATATGTCATAATACAACTTAATCTAGTATAATAAAATATAAATATACTAAAAAGAATATGCTAAAGATGGACCAAAGTTCTTAATATTTTTTTTGTTGTAAATATCATTTGCCTATTACTTAGTTTATATTAAAAATCTTCAAAACAATGCTGTACATGACATATATTTTGGCAAAATGAAGATCATCTTACTCAACATTTGGCCTCCTGGCCTAACAACTAGATATTCTATTAAAGTTTCTGTGAAAGAACAAAAATAAACTTTCTGTGGACATAAGAATATGTTCAAAAATAAGAACTTTCTATGGACGAAGTCTATCAACTCATTTGTTGCATAATAGAACTGAACCTAACAGTTTCCAAATTCAATGAGCTTTAAATGTAGCAAATAAAAAGATAATAATAAGTTGCATGTACTTTTTTTGTCTAAGATTCAGATTTGAAAACTAACCAACAAGATTTTACTTGACTCTTACTCATAACTTCAGCGGAACTCAAGCTGACACGCTGGTGAACGCCTCGAGGACGAGAACAACTCCTTGATCACCTCACGTTTCTTGTCAGTGTCATTGGTTTTACTGTGGAAATTAATGGTTGCCTTCTTTAAACACTTTGCGCTTCTTAGAACAAACGCTACTACTTCTTTCTCTTCTTCTGCTCCTTCATATTTTACCCATTCAAAAGTTTCAATCCTTAACAAACATTCAGGAACTGAACTCGGTTCATTCCAGGACGGGTTCCAGCATGGCCGCGGCTCGTTAGATCTAAGTAAATGGCACTAATACAAAGTACAATGCACTAGATCATTAATCATTCTTATAAACTACTGAATAATAATAACCATATTCAGATATACATACCTGGTGAAGTTTGAGAGATCGTAAATTAGGAGAATCTTTGAGCACACGCATAAGTACATTCACCCATACTGTCTCACATGTGCATATCTTGAGATGTACAAGACTGGAGAAGACACTACCGGCAGAATACATATCCTGCATGCAACAAGAATGGCATTATACTTTTACAAAAAAAAAAAAAAAAGAATGGCATTATAAAGTTCATGATCAAATGCAATGATAATACTCTTGATCACAACATCTATATATATATATATTACCTTTAATAAGGATGGTAGGCACAGATAAAGGCGCTTGAACGAAGCAATAGAACCCAACTTCTTCCATAATCTCCAAGTATTGAGGACAAGTTTTGCCTCCACAATCTTACTCATATTGCTCTCAAAGGTACAAAACCCACTAAAATGAAAAATGTCAAAATTTTCCAAAGAAGGAGCATCTATCACAAACCCATGAGAATGGTTTCCAAGTTTGATTTCTAATGTTTTCAAGACTAAATTCTTTAAAGAAGGCACGATAACAGTGAAAATGGTAGCATTGTCAGCATCACATTGTTCCACAACCAAGTTTTCAAGGACATGGCAGTTGGATAGAAGCTTCTTGACGAATTCACCACTTGGATACTTCATGGATATGAGACTCAACGTTCTGAGGGATGGGAAATAGATTGGAGAAGCAAAATCATCCACAAGAACCGCATTAGTTAGTTTCAATGTCACAAGCATTCTACATCCCCCACTAAACAAGCTCCAAGGGAGTAAGACTGGACCTTTATTAGTAAAATTATCAATCTTGATGGTCAGCTCGCGCACACAACGTTTATCAGCAGATCTCATCCACGCTTGAATATCTTCACTACCACAAATACTACCAAGTTTGAAATGCAAAGCTTCTATGACTGGAGCCTCGTGCTTAAAGAAAGATCTGTCTACAAACAAAGAAAAGCTTCCATACTTGGAATTCTTATAGATATCATGGTATACGACTCTTGGAACCATCATCCAGAGAAACTGCCATCGTTTTGACAAAAGCATAGTGTACACAACATCTTTCATGGTAGGAAGCATTGCCAATATTTTCAGTCGAAGCTCATAGGGCAACTGACTTATCCTGTCCATTATTAAAAGCTAGGTTCCGAACAAATCCTATCGCCTGAAAAACATTCATAAAATGAAACGATAAAAACCCTAGCTAGGTATAGAACGAACCAATATAAGAAAAGAGAAGCACAGGAAATCTAAACAAGATACCTATTGTCATTCTGATTTTTTTCAAAAAATAAGACTATATAAATCATGTTACCAATTATCATTTAGCTAAATTATAGCTAGCTAATCTTTGAATTTCAATCATTATCGTCTAATTAGTTATACATATAATAATAAAAAGGTTGTGTTACATGTGCAACAACGGTTATCTTTGTATTTGATAAGTTCCGTATTAAGGTTTTCTTGTAGCCATCCCTTTCATTAAAATCCAAAAACAGATTTTAATTCTGTTGGATTTTTTCATAAGATTTTCACTCAGATAATTTGATAAGCTGCATAATTACTAAAACCAATTACTTCAAAGTTGGTTAAAGAATTATATAACTATATTCTTTTAGTAACAAAAAACACAAGCTCGTAGGAAGTGTGACTGGAGTTTAATTGATCCTTAATCAACTCGATCTGACCATAATTTAAACCATTTTTTTTTCTCAAACTTCATTGCTCTGTATTTGTAAATCAATCTCCTGTAGAAGTTCACGAATCTTTACTACATGAGGATGTTAAAGCTCACCAGAGATGAATCTCTGTAGTCTGCTTTCAACTTCAATGGAGCTTTCACCAGCCATCTTCTTCACACCAATCGCTTTCATTATTTGATTTATATTAAAAATCTTCAATGCTGTGCATATAATGACACAAATTTTGGGAAAATCTACTTGAAACATTTTTTGATAAAGAAAAACAAAATGTTTCAAGTAGATTTGACTTCTGCATTTGGCCTCCTGACCTAAAAACTAGATGCATTTGTTAGACTTTCATGAAATAATAAAAAGAAAGTTTTTTTTTGGACAAAGTCCATCAATTCATTTCCCGCAGAAGATTAACTGAACCAAACAGTTTCAAAGTCAATGAGCTAGCAACAAAAATAAAATAACAAGTTGTACTTTATTTTCTAAGATTCAGATCTGGAAACTAACCAACAAAATGTTACTTGATTCTCACTCATGACATTAACGTAACTCAAGCTGACAGGCTGGTGAACGCCTTGTTGACGAGAACAACTCCTTGATCACCTCACGTTTCTTGTCAATGTCATTTGTTTTACTGTAGATAACAATAGTAGCTTTCTTTAAAAACTTTGCGATTCTAAAAACAAACGCCACTACTTCTTTCTCTTCTTCTGCTCCTTCATATTCTACCCAATCAAAAGTTTCAAGAGTTGATAAAAACTGTTCAGGAACTGAAATCGGTTCATTCCAGGACGGGTTCCAGCATGGGCGTGGCTTTTTAGGTCGAAGGAAATGGCACTGAAATAAAAAGCACAACGCAGTAGATCAATTATACTGATAAAATACTGGATAATAAAACCTCATTCAGATATATACATACCTGGTGAAGTTTGAGAGCACGTAAATTAGGAGAATCTCTGAGCACACGCATAAGTAGATTTATCCATTCTGTCTCACATGTGCATATCTTGAAATGTACAAGACTGGTGAAGACACTACCAGCAGGATACACATCCTTGCATGTATACACACCAACACTACAAGAAAACATTAATTTAGTAACTATTTTTGTAACTACGATTTGTAGTTACCAATATATGTTACTTATTTTTAACGATTTTACAACTATTTGGCAACTACAATAAAAACGTTGTACATTAGTTGCGATTTTGTGACCAAATATTGTGGTTATAATTCAGTTGTTTTATTGTAACATATTTGCAACGAATTGGC